GCCGTTAGTGGCCGAAAACTTTAGAGAAACAAGTGTTTGAAAACAAAAAAACCTCCAAAGAATAAAAAAATAAAAATTAAAAAAAAAAAATAGCCACTCAAAGTGCCGGGAGACTACCGACCCCCTTCCGGGTTTGGCGGTGGCTACCCATCCGCTCCGACGCTCCCTTCCACAAGGGGAGGGGAAAACAACTTTTATATCAAGCATCCACAAAGGCAAATGTCACTCGGGACTTCATCCCCATCTAAAAAAGCAGCTCGCGTCGCCAGCATCCCTGAATGCAGTCCACAGCCCTGCACCCCGGGCACCTTTTCTGACCGCAAAGGAGAGACCCTAAGAGGACTGGGTGCTACTGTCAGACCCTAAAGGCAATTTCAGACAACAAAGACCCCAGCGATCAAAATGGAATTATAATCCCCGCGGTCCCAGCGCCCCCTCTCCACCCCGCGAGTTGCTCGGCCGCCGCGCCCGCAGCGGTTCCCCGAGTGCAGTGGGTTCCCGCGCCCTATCCGAGGCGGGTGCGCCCCGGCCGCAGGTTCTGGGTCCCCCAGGCTAGCCTCACACCCCTCGCGATTCTGCAATCTCTGTGCCGCAGCTCCAGCGTTTTATCTCACGCCCGATTCAAAAAAATCTTTCCCGCCCAGGCGTGACGCGAGCAATGCAAACAATTAGCCGAGCGCCAGCGCGGGGCCTGGGCCGGGCAGGGGGCGGCGGAGAGCAGCAGGGCGGCCCCGCGCGCCAGAGTCGGGGCCCGGAGGTGACAAAGAAGCCAGGGAGACCGACGCCCCCCGCTGGCGCTCTCCGCGCTCCCGGGGGCGCCCCGCCCTCCGCTAAGTTTGCAGCGCCCCGCGCGCCCCGCCGTCCCCGCCAGGGCGAAGTTTCCCGGGGCCCGACAGGGAGCCCCGCAGGGGGCGGTTTCCGGGGCCCGCGGGCCAGGCTCGGGGACCCAGCTGGGCTAGCATGGCCCGCTCCCCGCCCTCCCGATCGCTCCAGGCGCACCCGGACGCTGGGGACCCCGCGGCCGCGCTCACCGCCGTCCGCCCCGCCCGGAAGGCGAGGGCTCGGGCCCCGCCGGCCCCCTCGGAGCCCCGCTCGTGTCACTGCCGCGCTCGCACCCTCGATCGCTCTCCGACTCGCTCTTCCGTCCGGCCCCAGGCTCCCGTTGCAGCCGAGCGCGCTCAGCTCCCGGGCTGCAGACCACGCCCCGCGCCCTCCGTGCCCGCCCAGCCCGCGCCCTCCACTGTGCAGCGCGGGGGGCGGAGCCGCCTCTCAGCCGCCCCGCAACTTTGCTGCGGCCTGTCCGGCCCTAGCAGGTGGCAGCGGCGATCAGCTAACTCCGATCCCAGGTTCGCGACCCCGTGCGTACCTGCGGCTGGGGACAAAGGGACACAGACTCTTCCAGAACACTTTTCAGGCCGGCTTCGCCCCTTCACCACGCGAAGATGTCGGGATCTCCCAAGTGGCGGTGAGGGAGCGATTAGCAAATCAGCCACCGAGACCGCGTCGGGTCCTGGAACCCTGTTGGAGTGACGTCTTAGCAGCGGAACCGGACTTGGCAGGTCTCTTAGGGTCTGGGTCACCTGGGGAGCTAGGGGAGGTACTGGTTAACAATGCTGATTAGTGTGCCCCTCCCTCTGCCTGGAGGCGGGGAGGAGCCAGGCTGCCTCTGTGAATGACACGGGGAAAGTGGGAATCTGTCCTGCAGGTGCTAGTTGGATTTTCCAGCAGATTACTCCACCCCTGTGTGCTCGTAGTGATGTCACGGACTCCCACTGACGTCCTGCACGGCTAGTACAATATTAGTAAAATTCCTGAACATATAAAATACATCACCTCACTGTTACTGCATTGAGAAGCCTTAAAGAACCTCTCTACTGAGTTTCAATCATAGTCAAATTTCTCTTCAGAAAGGTCTGGCTTCATCTACACTTATGTGGCTGGTTAAGTGTGGTGCTTAAGACCCAAGCTAAATGGTAAGGAACAAAGATCAGAAGTGTCACAGTGTGTTCAGCTAACACATGTTAATGGAGAAATTATGCCCAGAGGTAAGGACAATAAAAACCTTTATCTCTGCAAGTACAGGAATGACTCTAGTAAACTACTGAAATATGCTTTTTATTACTCTTCACAAAACATCTTCCCACCATTCCTTCTATTCTAGGTTGACTCTGATGGTATCCTTCTGAGACTACCTGTGTTTGCATCAAGTTATGACTTAGGGGCTGGGGATGTAGCTCAGTTGGTAGAGTGCTTGTCTGACATGCACCATGCCCCTGGGTTTGAGCCCCAGCATTGCATGAACCTGAAGTGATGGTCCATGCCTGTAACCCCAGCACTCAGGAGGTAGAGGCAGGATCAGGAGTTCAAAACCAGCCTCAGCTACATAGCAAATTCCAGACCAGTCTGGGATGTATGAGCCCTTGTCTATAATAAATAAATAAATAATGAATGAATAAATAAATAAATAAATAAATAAATAAATAAATGCATGCTTGGTTGGGGTGCCATCAAGTTCTATAAAGAAGGAAGTCTTCCTCCTGATGTCTTAGAACCACTTTCCCTAATAGAATGTATGCAAGTCTCAGTCTCTAGAAGCTGGCTTCAGGGTTTGCCCCACCATCTACAAAGCATTGTCTCTTACCCTTCTCTGCTCTAGCCTCTAGCCTCTTCCATTCTGTGACTGTCATGGTAAATGTTACAAATTGTGGCAGCAGTCTCTGGAGCAAATGTTACAATTTCCCTTCTAGGCAGCAGCCTCTAGCCCTCAAAGTGAAAGGATTGTTGTCCAGTATTGTGTCTACTGCAGTTAAGAGTCTAGAATGTAGGGTCTCAGTGTTTTCAGATGTTTCCAATTAGAGTCTTCTAATTACCTGTGGTTTCTCCTACACTAGCCAATTTGGATATTAAGTTAATACCTACTTTTAAATCGGCAAATAAGGCTAATGAATGGCAGAAGCATTGAAATAGACCCTCTTCACTTTGAAGTGAAAATTAAAGATGTAATGCTAAGCCAAACGGAGCCTCGCCTAGGTCTTTTGATGCACAACACAGAGCCTGTAAACAGATGGCTCATATCCTTCCATCTCTGGGAAAGTGGTCCATGAACGTGCCAGGCTGACTTCCTCCCATGTACCTCCACCTCAGAGTGTTGGGATTACAGGCATGAGCCTCCACACCCAGTTTTATGAGGTGCTGGGGTAGAACCCAGGGCTTCATACAGACTAAGCAAGCAGTCTACCAACTGAGCTACATCCTCAGCCCTCTCTTAGTTTTTGTTTGCATCAGACTTCTGTATTTATTGCAAATGACTCATTGGTCTCAACAGGGCACCTGAAAGATACAATTGGGGCCAGGGTTGCTGATCGATGGTAGAGCACTTGCTTGGCATGTATGAGGCCACTGGGGGTGGAGACAGGGGGCCAAACAAAAAGTGCATGTGTGATTTGGTACTCAAGTATGTTGCAGCTGACAGGGGAGCATCACTAAAGACCACAATCCATTCACCTCCCACAAGAAGGAGGAGGTGAACCAAGAGTCTCTGACAAAGACCATGGTCTGAGGAACTCATGTAATTTGGGAAGTTTTGTGTCACTAAAGGAACTAAATTCACCACTGTAAATTCTGAAGCACAGATTACACGCAGCAAACGTTGTTTGCCGTACAGCATCTCACGATAGACTGTGATGTACATGTCTTCATCTCTGCATCTAAAGTTCCTAAGCAGGAACACTACGGCCTTTATCCTCTGGAGCTGCTACTTCCAGTCTTGTAGGTGAGTGCCTTAGGGATGATTAGTTTTTGATTCTGCTATATGGTCATACACTACAATCAAGCATTTATCAAAACTGATAGTAAGGAGAAATAATGTTAAATGACTGGGGAAAAGGGATCAGTGAGTTTAATATCAGCACTAAGTATCTTTATCTGAAGAGGCCAGACAGCCAATCATTCATCTGCACAGGTGAAACTTTTAATCACTTGCCCCTGTATTATTAACAATGTTACTAGTAAAGACAAGGCATTTGGCTTCACACTCCTTGTTAGTAGTATCCTATCCCTGCCTACCTTAAGGAACAATCTGCCACATGTTTTTCAGCATTTAGGGAGCCTGTGTATAAGCCAGGGATGAAAATAGCTGTCCAGGAAAAGAGCACTGCTTTCCTTTGTCCAGAAGTTCAGTCACACCCTGCAAAAGCCCAAACTCCTTATCTCATTCTGGACGGGTTTCCTGCCACCCTGGAAACAAGCAGGAATAAAGGGTAGCTAATTGCTCCCTTGACCAGTGTGAGGTTTTTAAAAATATTGTTCTGATGAAAGTAGAAAACTGCACCAAAAAAGGAAAATGCACAGCCAACTGAATCGGGATCCAACATTCTGGAATTTGAAGAAAATTTAAGAAGAATATGCTGAGATTCAGTGAGGCAGCATGTGAAGTGCTGGGCATTTAGGGGAGGGAGACAGGCAGGGAGGGCGGCAGGGTGGCAGGCAGGAGGCAGGCAGGGAGCACCAACTCCTGTGTTTTTACTTTGCAACAATGGGGCTTTGAAAGCTATTATTTCCTAAAGCACTTTTATTGAACTGGTAAAGTCTTGAAATTTTAAAAATTCTGCAACCAATCTCAGTTTTGTATAGAAAAGTGAGGCCTTAAAGTATAATTTTTACCTAATGGCATAAAATTAATAGTGGCAATCTCTGAATTAGAACCTAAGCAAGCTGGACAGGGTGGCACACTCCTGTACAATCCTGCAAACTTAGCACTCAGGAGCTGAGACAGGAGAATTGAGAATTTGGGGCCAGCCTGGGCTCCACAGCAAGACTTGGTCTCAATTTTTTTTTTTAATCTAGACAATTTTTGGTAGAAATGCAAAATTTTAAAGAAATCCTATTATATATCTTCTCATTTGTTGCATTCCCAAGGGAAAGTGATGGAATAATTACAGTGCTCAGTCACAATAAAACTAGCCAGGCATTGTGGCTTACATCTTGGGAGGCTAAAATCCCAGTATTTGGGAAGCTGAGGCAGGAGAATTACCAGCCTGAGTTCCAAGCCAGCTTGGACTGCAGAGTGAGACACTGTCTCAATAATAATAATAATAATAATAATAATAATAATAAAATAACAACAATAATAGTGGCTGAGGGGCTGGGGGTATAGCTCAGTTGGTGGAGTACCTGCCTAGCATATATGAAACCCTACCTTGGATCCCCACACAAACCAGGCATAGTGGCTCATACCTGTAATCCCAACACTCAGCAGGCAGAGGCAGGAGGATCACTGCAATTTGAGGCCAGCCTGGTCTACATAGCAGAGTACTCAGTCAGTCAAGACTACATAGGGAGACTGTCTCAACTGCCTCCCTCAAAAAAAGAAAAAATGTAATCCTTTCCACCTAGAAAACTTAAAGTGTCCTATTAAAGAGCTGCTGGATAAAATGGAAGAAAAATGAAAATTAAACATGAATGATATCATTAAAATAATGACAATAGAAAGAATACATATCAATGTCGGGCATGGTAGCATATATGCCTTTGAATCCAGCACTTGGGAAGCAGATCTCTGTGAGTTCAAGGCTACCCTTGTCTACATAGAGAGTTCCAGGTCACCTGAGGCTACAGGGAGATCCTGTCTCAAAAAGACCAAAAGAAAAATTTAAAAAAAAAGGTGAAAGAAAGAATGAATATCAGAGTTTATTAAAAAGTAACTAAATGATTAGAGAAAATTCTTAAAGCCTTAAATATTTTATCAGTCAAAAAGATGAAGCCAGAGCTAGCTCAGTACTGAGCACTTCCCTGCCATGCAACATGGTCTTGGGTTTGATCAGCTGCACAGCAAAGAGAAAAGGAGGGAGAAAGGGAGATGCTTCAGGCTATGGGTAAGCTCATTGTCATGATCTGATCAATGCTTATTGTATGCAGCATCAAAATATCATAGTGGGCCCCATGAATAAGTTCAGCCACAGGTGACTTAGACTTCTAATTCAAAAACCTTAACCAAAGCAAGTCAAAGAAAAACACTAGAAAGGGGATAATGATAGAGCAGGAATCAATGTTGTCAAATACGGAGAACCAACAAATGCATCCACAGTCACCTATTTGAAAAGAATTAATGACTGAGAGTGAATGCATCAATATTGGAAACAAGAAACGATACCAGAGGTGCA